TATATTATAGATATAGGCAATTTCAATTATTTCAGAAAATTCTATTAGGCAGTGCTGCCCTAGACTCTAAGATAAATGAAAAAGCTTGGGAAAATTGTGCCCTCGTTTTTCCATTCCAGATCTTGATGCATGTTAAAAAATTGACCATGAATCACTACTGCCCACACCACCTCACATCACACTCTTTCTTCTGTAAGGAGAAGCATTGGGGGAGTTGAGATTGCATGGAGACTAGGTATGCAGTGCATTATAGGGAGGGGCAGGCCTCCAGTCCATGTTGCTGGAGTGTCTTGTGGCCCAGCAGGTTCTCACTGACCTTTCACTTGTTGCTCAGGTCCCCGAGTATGGCTGGCGACACTGGGCATGCTGACGTTGTTCCTGTGGATGTACTTGAGAAACACCTCAGCATTCCGCCGTGCGAGGGTGCAGGCCTGAGAGAGACAAAGGTGTGAGGTCCCTAGCCCCGGCAGGTGTATGGAATCCAAGACACTGGAGAAGGGGTGCCCTCCTTCCACTTTGTAGGAGGCTCGAACAGTGGATGGTGATGAGCATTCTGGAGGAATCCAGAAGGAGAAGAGCTCTGGAGGTCATGGATGTGACCTCCAACTTAGGAGGCTCACCCTTGTGAGCCTTCCTTTTGTCAAGTGAAGAACCATTCCCTATGCCTCCTTCCCTTTTCTGTCACAGATAAAAATCAGAAATCAGCCATCCCTCAACTACCTGTATGCTGAAGTATATTACTAAGATTCACTCTCAGGCTGGTTTCCCTCTGCCACCAGAATGCCTCTTACAGGACCACTGGTGTAAGCCCAGGGAACACAAACCCACTATAACATTAGTGTGATTTAGACTTGAGCATGTAAATCAGGTAAACATCTATTAACTATACATTCCAAATCTAAATGGGAATTACCATCATTTTTCAAACTCATTTGTCCATCAAGTCTCCCTTACCTAAATAACACTAACAAGCATCTTATTGCTGGGAAATACTGATCTGCATAAAGGACTGAGCTGTTATACCAGCCCTTGTTATACCAGGTGGTAGAGGGTAGGTCTCATTCTCCTTGCTGTACCAGTGGACAAGACTGAGGCCCAGGAGGGGCAGGAGTCGGGGAGTAACTCAGATCTAGAAGCCAGGACTATTGACAGAGTCTTTCTAGTTTCTCTCAAAGCCACATACTTTCTGGATTTCTCTAAAAAGCAGTTTTTTTCTGGTTGTGAAGTAATACATGCTGGCATGCAAGTTTTTAATGCATAGTTTTCAGAATTAATTTATCTCTAGATGAATTATTAAATTTTAAAACCTTCTTACACTTAGCCTCTGATCCTACAAATTATGTAATTAAAATCATAT